TTGGTCGCAAGGCCTTCGGAATCAGTTCAGCTCGAGAACCTTTTGACGAAAGTGGATGCGAAAGCAGTGAAATTTCACAAGGCATTCGCGGCCAAGCGAGCTTCTGATCCGAGGTACTTGCCGTCGAGAAGGGGCGGCGATGCCGACTTGTGGAAGGCGCCTGACAGATGCTCTACCAACGATGCGCCCTACATAATGGATGTTCCCACTCTTCGTCTGTTCGCATTGCAGCCTGACGTGCTCGGCGTAGCTAGCGCCAAGTTCTACGGGGAGGTCAGCGACGTCGCCCCCTGGCGTTGGACCTTTCGAACCGCCGCGGAGCATCATGGCATCGACTCTCTGCGCAGGCCCAGCGCGCCCCTCGCGGCAGGCTGCCCTGGCAGAGCGGCTGGAGGCGGTGAGGTTTCTCTACGCGGCTGACCAAGAGGACCCGCGCCCCGACCCGGTCAGGGCCAAGCACATCACACAGGTGCTCGCTGCTTGGACGGACTTCCGACGCATGAGCCTCGCCCACGCGGATGATTACGACGACGAATGCGACGAACAGTGCGACGACGAGATACGACGACGACGAGTGCGAAGACGACGAGTACGACGACGAGTACGACAACGAGTACGACGACGAATACGATACGACGACGAGCGCGACGAGTTGGTTTGGTTGGCGTGGTCTGGTTGGTCTGGTTGGCGTGGTATGGTTGGTCTGGTCTGGTCTGGCTGGTTTGGTCTGGTTGGCGTGGTTGGTTGGCCTGGCTGGCTCGTGTGGCTGCTCTGCTTGATTGGCCTGGCTGGCTGGTCTGATTACTTTGGCTGGTTATGGCTGGAACGACTGATCCGACTGGTCTGGTCAGTCTGGCTGGTCTGGCTGATCTGGCTGGTCTGGTCAGTCTGGCTCGTCAGGATGGCGAAGCGGGATGTGATATGGTGTGTGAACACACATGACATAAAATAAATATGTGGGGTTCCTCGGTAGCGTAATTATACTGGGGTTGCTTCCAACAGTTCCCCTTTCGTCTTGTAGTTATTCATACCACACTTCCTTAATGTGCGCCTCGAGATCCGCCTGTGATGCCTCGTAGATTGTGGGCAGCCATCCTCCTGTGGTTGTTCGGCTTCTGGGGCCTCCCTGGCATTGCTGCCCTGTGCGGGCATGTCTGCCAGTTCTTCGAACTTCCGCATGTCTTGATCGAAGCCCGCATGTGGTTTGGTGGGCTTCAGGCACTGGGTCATTCTAGAGTGTGCTGATCCAATTATATATTGGAAATCTAAGGCAGTGCCCTCAGCTTTGATAGTGGAAGCTCTGGATTCACGTTTTTGGCATAGCGCACCAGCGCACAACTGGCAGCATGCGCTATCGGAGGGGAACTCGTGGATACTCTTGGCTAACTAACATAATCAACGCTGTTGATGCGGAACAAGTTTCTGATAATATACTGGAGAGCTAAGTGTGCCTTTGGAGATAATTGGCTCGCACTCGTCATTTGGAGCACTCCCTTTTTGGCCGGGAGATAACCGGAGGTCTGAGCAGGTTGCCCCGCAGGCAAACTGGCTATGCAAGCCAACGAAGTCTGCGATGCTGCGCTGTCCGAGCCAATTCTCCGAGTGATCAGATATTCTATATAGAGCGAGTGTCTTGCATCACCGTGCTGGACTTGTACATCGCGTTTCCCAACTCGAACGATACCTAGACCCCTCTCGGGGTCGTTCCGCAAGGCAGGGAAGGGCCCATTCCAACCGCCCCAGTCGTCCTTCGTGGCTGTGGGGCGATGGTAGTCAACAAGACCAGCGATGGTCTTCTTGGTTCGTAGTGCACGGCTTGTCTTTGATATTGCTGTGGCCTGTGTGATAGCCTCCATGCTTGCGCGACGGATAGTCTGCTCTCGGTTGTGATCGGGCGTCTCCGTCTGTCGTTCGTGATCTAGAACACGCAGGCCGAAAGCATAGCAAGTTGTTGGCCAAACAATGACTCATGCCTCGTCGTGGAAAGTGAACGCGTGGCGGGCGAACAAAACCTCGTGCAATAGTCGGGCGAACACAGGGGACCCCCTTGGCGTGGCCTGACGGCGATCGCGAAGACCTTTCACGGCAGACAAGAGACACGCTCCGCGGCTACACGCAAAGCACAAGCCATTCTTCTTGGAGTTGACGCTGAAGGCGCGACTCTGCGACCGATCACTGTCCTTTCCGACGCCCTTGGACCGATCGGACTAACGCTCTTGACTCCTGCCGCGGTCGCCGCTCTTACACTTTCTACCCCCATTATCCTTGTCCCTCTTATTGGCCCCGCCGCCCTTCCCGCCGCCATTGCCCGCCTGGGCAGGCGCGGCATGGGCCAGAGCAACAGAGTCTCCACTTCCTTTCGGGCGCCGGCATTGACGCCGTGCCCGGGCGCGCGCGCGCTGGCCATTGAGGGACTTGTTGCACGGTGCCGACTTCTGGAGGAAACCGTCCTTCATGCGCAAATTGTGAACGCCTTTGCCGGCCCGCCCCCCCCTCCTCCGCCCTCGTCGTCTCCCGCAGAAAGACCTCGGGAGTTCAGTGTCCTCCGCTGCCTTTCTCGATTAATCTGCTTCTTTCTTTATGCGTGAAGTCGCTGACCCTCGATGACAGCCATTCATAAGTCTTCGCGCCAGTCCCGTAATCATCGTTGCAATGGTCGTAGATGAAATGGGTGAACTGCGCGCAAAGGCGTTTCTGCGTTTGGCGACGCAAGTGTTCCTGTATGGCGGGGCGAAAGGAGGCATCCAATCTCTCGTGGAAGTGGAAGTGGAACAGGTCGGCATCCGCTTCCTTGCCCGTGCCGCGTGTACAATTGACCATGATCCTGCCTGTTGGTCACTTGCACGGCAATGATGCGAAACATATAACGACCTTCCATCATGCTCCTGGCAGCCTGCGAGGCGATATCCAATCGTTCGATTTTGCTCGCGAAATGACGTAGCTGCGATGGCGACTGTCTGTCCTTGGCGATATTGCTAACCTTAGACGTCATGTCTAAGGTTAACCAGGTGCTATCACCAGGTCAAGCACTAGCCGGTGAAGACGAGCACTAGCACTGTCATGTCGGCGTCTCGCCAGGACAAGTGTCACCATGAGGTCGGCTGCTATCACCAGGTCAAGCCGGAGGAAGATGCCCGAGCCTCTCAGCATCTCGGCATCAGCATTCTTCATGTCGAGAGCACTCGATACCCAGCTAACGGCTTCCTCACGATTCGGCGAGGCCGAAGCCGCCGCCCTCGCGACGTTGCGCCTCCATCGCTGGAAATTAGCAACATCAGGAATCGCTTCCAACGCGACTTCCGTCTTACCAGCGTCGCCCCAGCGGGGCGACGCCCATCGACGGGAACGGGGGGGCATCGCCGCCGCCCCCGCCCCGCGGCGAGCCGCCTCCAGGCGGTCCTCCGCCGCGTCGGCGCTGAAGATCTGGATCGCCCCCCCCGTCTCCATCGGGCGTCGAAAATCCGTCTCCGAGGAAGTAATCGCCATCATCATCGTCATCGTCGTCGCCGTCATCTCCGCCGCCGTCGCCGGGGGGCCCGAACCGGGGCGTCTGGTCACTGGTGCCTTCCGCGGGGGCGTCGGCTCACCCCCCTATCCTTCTTCTCGAAGATATTCAGCGGGCTCCCCGGCGCCCGAGGCGCGCGCCCCGGGGAGGAGGTGGCCGCGCTGACGCGGGCTGCCGCCGATTCTGACATTCCCGCGCCGGCAGCTGTCTCAGCCCTTTCCTCTCGCATTTCCTGGGCCATCGCCCCGCGTTCAGCGCGCATCCTGGCGCTCTCTGCCCCGCGCTGCATCGCGTGCTCCAGCTTTTCCCTGAGCTTCTATTTTTTCAGCTCCTGCAGCTTCCTCAAACTCGAGGAGCCTCTTCAACTCGGCGCCCTCGGCCCGACGACTGCGCAGCCCCGGGCGCGACTGGACCGAAGCGAGCGGTCACGAAGAGGGGGGCCCTCGGCATGGACGAAGCGGCGCCGTGTCCCTGAAGCTTCCTTCTGGCCTTAACATGATTCAATGCACCTGTAGCTATTCCCAAACTTCATGTTGGCTAGAAATTTGTTTTCCGTATGGAAATTAATGGTTTTGACTCAAAAATTCAAATTATAAACGATTTATTCGCATTTTTTGCAAGTACTGAACTAATAAGTGTATGTTATCTTGATAACTTCGGGTAGCGGAGCTGGGGTCCACGGACCTTGCCCGACAGGGCTGGTGAAATCCCTTTTCCACCTCAACATGAACTGAGCCAAAACTGGCTCTCCACAGCACACAAATGTCACAACGGCGCATGCACAACAATCCTCACTCAAATCACTGATATATACATTGATTCCTGCACTCCTCCTCGGGCCCATCTGCAGCTTCATGCCAAGATCGGGCACGTAATCTGGAAACATATCAATATCGAATCATAGCCAGCGAGTGAGGGTGCCAAGTCCCGACAAACCCATCAACACTGTCGATCTTGTCCTGCCTTATCTCGTTGAGGGCGGTCGCCACGCATGCTTCGACCACCATCGCCTTTGTATATGTCGAGACGGCCCGATCCACTCGCCGTAGTCGTAGAAACTCCCGTCCACTGTCTATAGTCATAGCTGTGAACATAGCCCGAAGATCATTGACCACGATCTTGCTCGTAGCTCCATTCTTCATCGTGTCCTTCAGGCCGTACTGAGTTGAGGCATATTTCTGCGCTGGCTGCGTGATACGGTCGATGTGCTGCTTGACTTTGAAGACTGCACTCGTTGCGATAACACTCAAAAGGGTGAACATCATCATCACGACCGTTGTGGAAGCGCCAAAATGGCTCTCATCATCAGCAGGGCTTGAGATCGCGACTGGCTGGTAGTCACCTTTAATTATATCAGTAGCATCTGCGCGTCCAACTTGAAGAAACGCACCAAGACCCACCAAGCATTGGGTAAGTGCACCCATCAGCTCCAGCGCAGGTTTACCGATCTGGCCCTTCTTGTCGTTGCTTGAACTCGAAACTCATCCAACTTCACCTTTTCCAGTAAGCCATACCCTCATTGCCGTCAGATGCTTCATGACATCGATCCTCGACAAATGCTTCGTCCCGATGTCTGCTGCATTCTCCTCGGTATGGACTTTGTTGGTGCTGACCTTCGTCTCCGCCTTCCGTGCGACGAGGTCCTTGATCCACAGGTCCTTCAGCTCGATATGGCGCATCCTACCAACTCCCTTCTTCTCGACATTCGTGAGCGCGCTAGAGTTGTCACTCTCCAGCGTCACAGGCACTGTGTCGTCCAGGAGCTCCTTGAGATATGTCTGGGCACCCCTCGCCTCGATACCGACGTGCACGAGCGCGTTGAACTCGGCCTCGGGTGACGATAATGCTGGGGCCCCTTGTGTTTTGACAAACTGCATGATCAAGGCTCCGTTGAGAAACAACTGACCGCAGCTGGTAGACTTCCTTCCGATTGGATCATCAGCCCAGTTTGAATCTGCACGTCCTATGATTATGAACTCACTCCTGTCTGGATACATACATGTTACCGACGACGGATGAGCTCGAATGGACCTGATGATACGCATCAGTCTCGTCTGGTCCTGCACCGTTGGTCGTGACATCCCCCTCGAGCACTCTTTCGCCGCATACTGGCACTCGGGCTGCCGGCGGACCCCCCCTCCCTGAACAGTTCCGGCGCCCGGGGGCGATTCAAGAGGGCCCTAAAACGGGCCAAGAGAGCCCCAAGACGGCCCAAGCGAGCCTCCAGACGGCTCCAGATCGCTCCCAGACGCTAAATATGGTCTCCAGACGGCCCAAGACGCCTCCAAGACGCCGCAAGAGGGCTCCGACAGCACCCCTGACAGGGCCACAAGATGTACATTTCATTCATTTTTCAATGGTTTTTTACCGTTTTTCGGCTTCCCGCAATTTGGGCTTCCAGACGCTCCAAGACGGCGCACGAGGCCCCCAAGACCGCCCTAAGACGGCCGAAAAGCCCCCCAAGAGAGGTCCAGGACGGCCCAAGAGGGCACCAAGACAGCCCAAGAGGCCCCCGGGACGGCCCACGAGGGCCCCAGGACGGTTCCAACAGAGGGCCCAGAGGGGGAACCTCAACGGACATTCCGACTTTCAACTTCCAAAAAGCCTTCAGGAGGGCCTCAGGGGCTCCCAGGAAGCTCCCAAGAGGCCCCAAGAGAGCTTCAAGAGGCCCCCAAGAAGCCCCCAGGAGGTCCATGAGGACTCCGTCCGACCCAAAACCCAAGCACGGTGGCGGGATGGGGCGACGGCTATTTGATAGCTGGCATACGCGCCGCGTCACGACTTTCGATGCTGCGCACCTCCTCGAAAAACTCCCAGGGAGCGGCCGGTGATGCGCCGCCGGCGTCCTCGATTTTCTAGAACGCCTTGCTTTTGATCGTCAGGTCGTCCTTGTGGTTGTGGTATTTGTTGTAAGGAGTTCCACTTTGACAAGGATCGAAAGGAAATTGATGATGCCCATTTTAGCTTGGTCGGTCCCGGTGGATACTTTACCATTGTGGCCATCACCAAGCACTCTAACTAGTATGCTTTCGGTATCCTCTATGATTTGCTTTCCTGCTAGACGCAGTTGAAATCCAAATACCATGTTTTGCCTCGTGTGCTCTTCCGTGCCGGAATGTCCGACGGTGGTGGGGAACCGTGATTGTGCTTGTTCTCGATGGCATTGATTTTCGTGTCCGTGATGTCGAGGCGCTGGTTGGCCTTCTTGTTGGCCTTCTTGATGTCATGCTCCACTTCTGCGACGCCAATTTGCGCAGCGTATGCGGATTGTTGGGCTGATGTTGCAGAGGCACGGGCTTCCTGAGCGACCTTGAGGCTCTCGTCGACCTTGGTCGTCAACCCTCCCAAGTTCCTTAAGCTCATTGAACATTTGCTCAACACGGTCCGGTGCGGGTTCAACTTTTTGGTGCTTCTGATTGTCAGAGGAAGATCTGCGTCCTCCCTTGTGTTTGCCGGGGAGTGCCATGGCAGTCTGCGAGTTGAGGGTGATATGAAAGTGAAGTAGAGAGGAATGAAAAGACTTAAGTGGGCAGACCTGAGCAGATTTGGCCAGATTTGGGCAGACTTGAGCAGACTTTGCAGGACTTGGCCAGACTTGGGCAGATGAGGAGGAGGAAGGAGAGGAAAGTAGCGAGGAGGAAGAGGATAAGGAAGGATGGCGAGGCGAGGGAGAGGCGACGCCGCGTGGTTATGAGTTCGGATGGGCGAGAGCCAAAACGACCCCCATGGGGCCCCAGACGATGCAATAATGGAAGAGCGCAGACCAACCAGGAAGAGGGCGGGGAAATAGCGTACCAAACGATTATTGGCCCGCTGTTTCCCTCCGGCGCTCGGATATGCATGTACGGCGCGATAGCGAATGCGAAAGGCATCAAGCACAGGATGTGCATGAGGAGAGAGAGAGAGGGGAGGTGCGTTACGAGAGGAGAGGTTTACGGAGGATGGGGACGGCATGACAGTCTGGATGAGAAGTGGCACGCGAATGTGGATGAGGAAGCGCAAGGAGACTCACCCTCTAGTGTCTCCGTGCCATCACAAGGCGACAGGAATGAGGAGGACGAGGAGGACGAGAGCAAAGACGATAAGACCGATTAGGGATGATGGGGGGGATTGGAAAAGAGAAGATGGGCATGATGAAGTGGGCTGGAAGATAACGATGAGCGAGGAGGGGAAGTAGCACAGAAGCGCGAGGAAGGCGCTGCCTGGGCGGGGCGCGAAGGCGATCATTGCCAAAACTACGGTACGCCGCCAGAGGCCCCAGTACCCGAAATTGGAGGATCAGCGCGAAGAAACAAGACGCGGGATAATAAAGAAGAGTAAGACGAGGAGGAGGAGGAGGAGAAGGACAGAGAGGATAATGAGGAGGACGATGAGGAGGATGAGGGTGAGGAGGACGAGGAAGCGGAAGAAGACGAGGAAAGGTGGAGGAGAACGAAGAGGAGGAGGAACGGGAGGAGGAGCAGCAGGATCGATGAGGGGCAAGATGAGGAGAAGGAGAAGGAGGAGGAGGAGGAGAAGGAGGAGGAGGAAAACGAGGAGGAGGAGGAGCGCGAGGACGAGCAGCAGGATCGGTGAGGAGCAGGAGCAATAGGAAGAGGAAGAGAAAGACAAGGAAGAAGATACGCTCCTTCAACCCGCATTCCTCCGAAATCGTCTCGAACCCTCCAATTTCTCTGACGGCTTCCTGGAGGGGTCCTGGGGGGTCCCAGGGGGGGGGTCCAGATCAGAATACCATCCTCCTCCAGGGGGTCCTGGGGCCCAAACAGGCCCCAAGACAGCCCAAGACAGTCCAAGAGGGCCCCGAATCGCCGAACAATCGGCCAAAGACGCCAACGATGGCCTCATGACAGCCCAAGTGGCTTCCAAGACGCTCGTAGAAGCCTCCAAGAACACACCAAGAGGGCCCCAACAGGTAAACTTAAATGATTGTCTTATGGTGTTTCCCCAGATTCTGGCATTCTCGTCTGCTCAGCTTCCCGACGCCCCAAGACGGCCCAAGATGCCACCAAGATCGGCACAAGAGGTTTCCGGTTTCCACGACAACCCCAAATCGACCCAACAGGGCCCCAAGACGGTCCTAGAAGCCTCCCAGACGGACCTGGATGTCCCCAAAACGGCTTCAAGAGGGTGCCCACACAGGAGCACGAACGAACAGTTCGAGCCCTCGGCCCCGAGAAGCTCACAGGTCCAGAGAGGCCCCCAAGAGGTCCCCACGAGGCCCCAAGAGGCCCCTAAGAGGCCCCCAGGAATCCCGAAGGGATCTCCGAAAGGCTCCCAAGATGCCTACAAGATGCTCCCAAGAGGCCCCAAAACTGCCCCCCAGAGGCCTACGAGCGGGCTCCGAAGAGGCCCCACGACGCATCACTGAGGCTCTGCCCCACGTCAGCGTTATCGTCGACGCCGCTGCCGCGCCGTCTTGGTCGTCGTCCCCCTTCGTCCTCTTCAACTGTACCATTTTCTCATGGGTGATCACTCCTCCTCGTTGCCCTTCCCCTATCTACATCAGCATCGTCCACATCATATTCCTCATGATTATCATGATCACCACCATCATCGTCATCATCATCACCACCATCAGCATTATCACCATCATCATCAGCATCACCACCACCATCAGCCACCACCACCACCATCACCGTCAACATCATCACCATCACCACCACAACCATCATCATCTGTAGCATCGCCATCATCAGCATCATCATCATAATCATGTTCAGACTCATCATCATCATCATCATCATCATCAGCAGCAGCAGCAGCATCACCATCATCATCGTCATCGTCATCGTCATCCTCATCATCATCATCATCACCATCATCATCAGCACCGCCATCACCATCAACCTCATCAGCATCATCATCATCATCATCAACATCAGCACCAGCATCACCATCAACATCAGCATCATCATCAGCATCATCGTGCTCATCACCATCATCATCGACATCATCGCCATCATCATCATCATCAACAGCATCATCATCAACAGCATCAGCATCATCATCATGATTATCATCAGCAGCGGCATCACCATCGGCCATCATCATCGTCCTCATCCTCATTATCGTCATAGTGTCGATATCGGAATCGTAATCATCATCAGCATCACCAGCATCATCAGCAGCAGCAGCACCAGAATCCTCAACATCAGCATCATCGTCACCAGCATCATCATCATCACCATCGTCATCATCATCGTCATCATCACATCGGCATCGTCAACGTCATCGTCATCGTCGCCACCACCATCATCACCGCCACCATCACTACCATCATCACCAAGATCATCATCGTCGCCATCAGCATGATTATCATCATGTTAATTGTCGTCATCCTCGCCATCGTGATCATCAGCGTCATCGCCGTATTTGTCGTCACCATAATCGGACAACAACATCATCGTCATACTCAGCAGTACCAGCAGCAGTATCATCATCGCCATCAGCATCCTCATCATCAGCAGCAACAGCCTCCTCCTCCACATCAGCATCATGATCATCATCATCATCAGCAGCATCATCACCATCATAGGCATCATCATCGACTCATCATCCTCATCGTCCTCCTCATCCTCATCATCATCCTCATCATCACCAGCACCATGACCATCATTGTCATCCTTATCCTCATCCTCATCCTCACCACCACCACTCTCACCAGCACCATCACAATCACCATCACCATCACCATCACAATCGTCGTCATCATCATCATCATCATCACCATCATCATCGTCATCATCACCATCAGCATCACCATCACCATCGTCATCATCATCACCACCATCACCATCGCCATATCCACCGACGTCATCGTCATCGTCATCGCCTCTGCCATCATCATCATCACCAAGATCAGCATCAGCATCATCATCATCATCGTCATCAGCACCAGCACCAGCATCAGCATCATCATCGTAATCATAACCATAATCAGATCATAATCCGATTCCAAGCCCGAATCAACACCAAAATCAGAAACATAATCATCATCATCAACCTTATCATCGTCATCATCATCATCAGATCATCATCAGATCATCAGATCATCAGATCATCAGATCATCATCATCACCATCATCATCATCATCATCATCATCATCATCATCATCATCCGTCCTTCCCCTTCCTGCCGCAGGCAGATTGGGGGGCGGCCTCATAGAAGACCTTGCCGCAGCCCCGCGAATTGCCACACTCGTCGGTGAACATCTGCGGGATCAGTTCAGCAGCGGAGGAGTGCAGGAAGAGGGGGGGGACAACACAAGACAGGACATCCGCAAATGGGGGTCAACGTCAGCTCACCTAGACTGGTGCCTTGCGCGCGTCTGCGAACTCCCCTGCGAGTTGGTTGTGCCACAACCCTGACTTCTCACTAGGGCCGGCAGGGGGGACACCCCGAAGCTTCAAGGAGCCAGCTCCGAGGTGGCCCCGTAAGAGACGCTCGCTACCTTGTGAGTACGCGTCTCTGCGGGTCAATGCGGGGGGAACGGTTGTTGGCACTTCCGCGTGCCCTGGGAATGGGGACGCGCTGGGCGAACAGGGCTCCAAAGCTAGGGGGGAGAGGCGACGACATGACCACGCAAAAGAAAAAGGAGAGGGGAAACGGGAGGCTTCTGCCTTTCAAACTTCAGCTGGGAGGGCCTAGTTATTCTACTCTATCCTGTTTTCTCCTCTCTCTCTCTCTCGGCTCACTTCTCTTCCAAAACGAACTGGACGATAGTTGCCCCGTGCATTGTCGAAACTGTACCCTGCTACCTTGCTGAAGTATCCCACCGTTCCCCCCTCGATGTCTAGGTAGGGGAGAGCACGCTGATAATCATGGTCTGTTGGAGGTGGGGCCGTCGTGGATGCACTCTGGTGGCTTTCGTGTTTATCTCCTTTCCCCATTCCCCCCTGCAGTGGCGCACATGTCGGCGCTTCAAAAAAATGCTTCCCATGACGTTGTCTGCGCGAGCTGTCTATTACATGTCCTCGCGCCGAAATTGCCCTGCTAGCGATGGCCCCCGCGGGTCTGCCCGCCTGCCTAGAGCACTCCGAGATAACCTCGCTAATGCACGTGTTGGCGTTGTCAGTGGGCTCCACTGGGCCCTCTCTCTTGCGGCCGCTGGAACTGGCCGCCTCCTCCGACTTGGCGCGCTTCTCGAAGATCTCGGCACCGCCCGCCAGGGTCTTCGCGCTGCCCCGTAGCTCCCGGCGTTTTTTGAACCTTTCCCCCTCCGCTGGGTGGAGAATGCCCTCGCTACTCAGCTCCTTCATGGCAACCTCCATGACGCCGCAGAGGCCCCCCCCTCGCCATTCTTCGCAAGCTCCAGCGCCAACTCGCACCAGCTCTGCGCAGTGGAGGCCCCCCCCCCCATCTTTCCCGCGCGCCCGCTGGGCACCTTGCGATGAGATCGCACCCGTCGACCTCGCGCGTCATCGGGGGGGCTACTGGGGTCAGCTCGAGGAGCTCCCCTGGGCTCATCCTCTGGGCGGCGTCGTAGAACTCGCAGGGGTTCGCCCCGATGGCGCCGCGCTGCTTCTGCGGCAACTCCCCCGCTGCAAAGGCTTCCCACTTCTCTCCCACCTTGAGCCCCGCCACCATTGAAGTCCCTTCCTGAACGGCTGGGACACGGACTTGCACCCGGTGTCTGGCCACTTCTCGCTGCCCCGACCGAAGTCGTTCTTCATGTTGCCCACCCACTTCTTCATGGGCTCGTCTTCTGGGTGTTTCTCCTGCGCCTTCGCGGGCTGCGCCCAGTTCACTTTGCGCCGAAACTTACACAGGGTGCCCCATCGACCTGGGGCTGGGGTCCTGCCACCACAACTTGTAAGGGAAAGCAAGTCCGCGCGAGCAGGCAGCGCCCTTCTTTTCGCCCAAGCCTGTGCTCCTCCTGCATGCGTTGAACAGCTGCACGTTGTCGCTCCACTTGTCCACGAAGTCCAGTGCCTTGAGGTGCGCTGCCTGTTTCTCCCCCATGTTCTTCGCTGTCTTGTCGCGCCCCATCTCGTGCAACTCCTTATCTTTCTCCTCCAGCTCCTTCTTGGCGGCCTTCAGCGCTTCTTCGTCTTTAACGTCCATGGCCATGCACTTGCTCAGCAGGGCGTCGCACCTTTCGGCGCGTCACGAGGCCTCGGCCACGCCGCCCCCCTGCCTTGCTGAAGGCTGCGAAGATGTCCCCCATTCATTTGGATGCCCTCCAGCAGTGCCTGTTACATCTCCTTGGGCCTCTCTATGACCATTTTGTGATTGCGACACTTTTTTCGTCGGTCCTTCCTCGGCCTCAATGAGCGCTTTCGCCGCCTGGACCTGCCCCGGGGAACGGGCTGCCCACGCATCTCCTTCTGCGTTCCCGTTGTTCCCAGCAGACTTGCTCTCTCGCAATGGACTGCTCTCCTCCATGTCTCAGCTTTTCCCCGTCGCTCCACTAGATCCACTCCTCCTGCCTCGGCCCCAGCTCGCAGTCGACGCGCGCCCACTTTCCATCGATGCCCCTTGCCTCCTTGACCTGCTTCATGTCCAGGCGCATAATTGGCGCGCCCCCTTCGGCTGACGACAATCGCGTAGTACCCGAGCCCCTTGCTGCAGCGCCCGCGTGGCCATGGCTAGCCGCTGTCCGCGCAGACCACGGGCAGTCTCCAGCGTCTCGCACTCCGAGATTGCCCCGCGAGTGCGCAACGCTGCGCGCCAGGGCCGTCGCTGAACCAGATTGGCCGTGGGGGGTGAAGATGATCGATGAAGGTTGCGGTGTTTTCCTAGATGCCCCGAATATCACGTGGTACTTGGCATTGTCTCCATTGCCCCCATTGTCCGTGACCCATCTTTACATTGTGCGCATGCTGTGCACTGCGCAGAATACCCCGCCCACCATCTCTCCTCATCTGCAATGGAGTAGCGGGACGAATATAAATATCGTGTCGCCATGAGAGACGATGTCGGCTACTGACGGGGACGGGGGGACTGGTTGCTGCCGGGGGGGGGGGGGGGGGGGGGGGCGAATCGTTTCTCTGCAATGCCGCTTCCCGTTCTGCTCGAATATTTAGGGCCAGTTCGTAGATCCTACCATCTGAGCAAAACATCTAAGTATAGAGAGGCGTTCAACGCCCACGCAGATTGACTCCGGTATCCTTTCATCATCTGAAAGATGTCTCTTCCCAATCGCACGTCCGCTGTCGGGCACTCCTGCGACGCCCGACTGCCCTGGAGTGGCCCCCCCGAGGGCGGCCCTCTCAGGACTCGATGCCGACGCCGTCGGAGGTGCAGTGGAGGTGCTCGTCCGCGACAGCCGCGGTCTGGCACTCTGCCTTGGGGTTTTCGCACTCCGAGATAACCTCGCCGATGCAACTACTCCTCTCTCAACGGCGCCGTCGCTGAAGTTCCCGTTCCGCCATTTTCTCCAACTCCGACGCGGGCGCCGCCGGCTGGGGCTTCTCGCCTCCCGCGAAGACTATCAGCACCACCGTTGCCATCCTCAGGCGGTGGCCAGAGAACTGGTCCAGCTTCGCCATGGTCTCTCCCCTCGCGTCCCTCGGTAGCGCTGCTATGAAATTGGGCGCCCCGCTGGTGCCGATCTGGATATTGCCTGAGCCCCCCATCACAGCGCTGCTGCTCGTCCTCGTTCCGCTTCCTGTTCTTGCCGTTGAGGGCCCTGTAGCTCTCGCTGGCCTTGCGCATCTCGATCGTCTCTGAGACCACGGCCTGGCTGCGCTCGCTTTTGCTGTCCGCCATCTTCAGGGGGCCGTTCAGCGCGTCCATCGCCCGATCTACATCGACGCCGCCACTGTTGTAGGGTCTTCTTTCTGCCATTCCGACGCCGGCCCCCAGGCGCCCTCCATGCGCGCCATCCCCGCGTGGATGCCTGGCGGTCCCAGCACGCGCCCCTTGCCTCTCGCCTGGACTGGTTCCCGTAGTTCTGCCCCGCGGCCGGCGACTTCCGAAACGCCCAATTGCTCACCGGCATGAGAAAAAGTCTGAGGCCATGCGATTCGCTTTCCTCATCTCTGCCGACGCGCGGAGAGCCGATCGCTGGAGTCCGTTAATGCATCCTCTGAGGTCGTACCCCTCGTAATCCTCCGCTGCTCGCGGCTGCTGGCCGGGGGGCGCGCGCCCCCCCCCCCCCCTCGCCGCCCCTTCCCGCGGCCGCGGCCGGGCGGGCTTCCTTGGAATACATCTACAATAGCTGAAGTCGTTGGTCTCGCGCGCCCCCCGCATCTCCTCTGCCGCCCCCCCCCCCTCTCTCGACCTCCAAGTCTGACCTGTGTTTCCGCAGCACATTTTGCATCTGATTCAGCTCCTCCGTGATCCCCCCCCCCGTCTTTCCTGCGATTCTTCCACCACCGTGTCCACTCTCAACTTCATCCTTTTTGCCAGTTAGGAATGCCCCAATAGCTGGAAGGCTGCCGTTCCCTTGCCCTCCAGAATATTCTTGTTTGGGAATACTTCTTCCGTTGCTTTTCCTGCTGATCAGCCGTAGGTCGGTCCTGGAGCTCTCTCCATTCTTCATCTGCCGTTCGCTCTCCAGCGTTTGCACTCCGAGATAACCTTGCTACTGCTGCTCTTCCTGGGAGCCCGGCAGATCCCCCCTGGGGCGCACTCCGAGATGACCTCGCGAATGCCCCCCCCGGGGGCTCGGCGGCATCCGCCTGGATCGCACTCCGAGAAGACCTCGCTACTGTTTCTCCTGGCTGCTGCGGCGTAGTAATGTCCAGGCGGCGATCGAAAACAAAAACACTCAAGGACTCCGCTCTCGCACGTCCTTTCCTCAGGCACTGCATCAGCACCTTGCGGCCCGCGTCTTTGCCTGCCCGCTGCTGGCTGCGCTTGCTCGGAAAGCGAAACTGATTTTCCAATCCGGTGTCGATGGCCAAAAGGGATATGGTCCCGATGTCATATCGCTTCGACTTTCTGCATTATTGTTGCCACTCCTCTCAACGCAACACATCTTCGCACGCGTGATAAGGCTCCCGTCGGTATCACTATGTGATCGATCTTGCTCGTCCGTATCTTGTCATCTTTGACGCAGTAGCAACGGAATCCACAATCGAAGAAGGCGGCGGCTACCGACAATTGGCTGTGAACACAAAACTTCCTGAAAGCTGCGCCGATGTCGTTATCCACCCTTTTCGCCGCTGCTCCCAATCTCACTGCAAATTTGCTCGAGCTGCGTCTGCTTACCACCAAGTGCCTGTTGTCCGCTCTGCGCATCCCCAGTTGACTGTTGATCTCCCCTTCAACTATAATAGTAGATATGCCACCTGTGTCGTCACACTTTTCTTCCACCCTTTCATATCTTTGAAATCACCCCATTGTCTGCGCACCCTTTTTCTGGTGGTAAGTGCGTGGCAAACATTGTGAAATCGTAAGCTCGCTTACGCAATCTCACCCCCGCTGCTCTACCTTGCAGTTGCGCAGTCAGTGTGTACTGTGCATGGCAAGTTTTCGTTGGGCATCTCAAGCGTCGTGCCGCATGCCTTAGTAGTCCATGTTCTTTTCTTTGCCCCAAATTGCACTGCCACATGGTGTGTATGATTCGACATTTTCTTTAGCTCTGGCCCTGCCCACTGATGCGTCCCTGTCAGCACAATCGCATCCCACTCCCGAAGCGCACTGCTAATATCTTCCAGCCTGTCCGTGGCACTCGCCGCCAAAGGTTTCTAAACTGCGAGATTCGTCGACGCACATATCGAGAATAATGCGATCGTTGCCATCTATTTTCCATGTCCCCCCGTTCCCTCTCTGGCCCCTGTGATTGCTGTGGTGGTAGTCGTGTGAAAGAGTTTCAGGAAAATCCCCTCTCCGTCGGTTCCCAAAGTGCCTGAGCCTCCAACGCCGACTAGGAGGAGGAGGAGGAGGAAGAAATCGACTGGGGCTCTTGCTGAAGCCCTCGCCGCGAAGTGCCGGCCGCCCGTTTCCCTGGCACCCTCGGCCTTGCCTTACTCCACTTCCACCTCCTCCTCCTCCTCCTCCACCTCCACTTCCTTCTCCCTACCAGCGGCGGCGCTCCTCTTTCACCTCATTTTCATCATCACCATCCTTTTCCGTTCCTTCCGCCCTGCCCAGTGACGCGTGGTTCCCAGCGTGTTCGATCTGGCAAGGGCGGTCGGCCGAAAACTAACCAAATGCACGTCATTTTTTTGATTATCATTCCCGCCACCGTGCCGCGAGGCGCTGGCAGTGTCCTCAGGTCATCTACAGACCCCAATCCTGAGTGCCGAATGCTCTCCAAGGGACCCAAAGGCCCAAATTCCACTTTCTCTTGGGTTCCCTGTGGACCTCTGGGAGCCGGTCGCGTGACCTTTGGAGTGTGTCGCATGACTTTTCCTAAATCCATAGGGCCCAGATGGACCAAAAAGATCTGAAGAGGCTGCAAGGACGGTCGAAGGGGCCCCGAGACAGCTCAAGAGCTTCCCGAGACTGCTCAAGATTGCCTGGAGATGGCCCATGATGCCATCGGCAGCGGAGGACCGGTCGGCACAAGACCTTGGGCTGCCGTGGCGGTTCCTTCTCCGAATCTGCCCTTGACGTCTTTATCCCCTGCCTGACGCTTCCTGCTGTACTCACACTTTGTACTCGGCGGCCAGACGGGCGGCCGCTCTGGTGGACGACCGCCCGCGCATGCAAAAGACCTAGAGAAAACCTGGTGTACCCACAGACAAGCAAACACACCAATAGCACGTGCATGTTCAATTTATGTAGTCATCCATGCGACTCCACGCGCAGTTCTGCACACACTTACGATGATCGTTTCCAGCTAACTGGCAACCAGGAGTACATGAATAACCGAAGAGACTCCTGCAAGGTCCGCAGTCGCGCATGTGATCAGAAGCGGGGCATGAAAATGAGCATGAAAAATCACAGCGCGGTCCTTGACAAACTTGACAGTTCCGACGGTCTCTGCGAAAGCCTTCAAGGCATCCTGGCAAAGCTGCAAGCACCATGTCAGAAGAACCATAAGACTGAAACGGACCAGTGTGAGAACCAGGAAGCGACCAATGATCTGGCAGCACATCAGATGTAGACTTGCCGATGCAGGATGCCACTGCGCATTGAAACCTACTTGGAAGAAGCAGGCACGCGAGCCGAACCGTATCTCGAGCACTGTGCACTCTGGAAGTAACCAGCTACACATTTCAGATAGACGCGATGGTGTTACAGCAAGCTATTACCATTGAGTGGCACAGCGCCATGACATTTCACCACACATCCTGCCACATACATTGACGCATCCACCCGATAGTCTCTGGAAACCAACGGCCGCTCAGTATCACGAGGACCGTGGAGGCAGACGCTTGCTAGAGAAAAAGCCAAGTTGCCCAAGCACGCTCTATGGACTTACACCTGCTGTTGTGGTATGCGCTCGCAGCACATCTGTCGACTTACAACGCCATGCATAGTTGGCGGCATGGATTGGATCTCGCCGACCTCATCACCTCGAAACAGGACAGGTCGAAGGATCCTGAAGTGCGTAATTGACGAGAGCTGCGATCTCATGCTGAGGTCTGCAGAGGACCCATCCCCCCTGCACAAGCAATGGAACACCTCCTGCCCCAAACCCCAAACGATCCCCCTGGAACGGTCAAACAAAGTCTCGAACGGCCCAGAAGCACACTCGATCGCCGCCGGCGACGACGAGACTTGCATTACTTTTACGGGGTGGTGTAGGTCGCTTGGCTTCGCGCTGCGCGAGGCGCGAGGCGCGACTGTCTCCGCGCTCTAGCCTCGCCCTCATTGAGAAGGGCACATCTCAAGCCCAGACCGCGAAACACGATCATCTTCGAGCCCCTGCTGATGACCCGGAAGCCCTCGACCACTGCGGCCGCAGCGATTGCCGCCTGTCCGAACTCCGACGGCCCATGAGGCCTCCCGAGGCTGCCAGGGAGTCTGGGCCAGGGAGGCGAAGAACGATGTGCGCCGATCTCATCGCTTCTGCACTCGCGAACGAGAATCTCACGCGCGCGGGAGCAAACAACGCACTTCACCTCTCGAGCGGGCTAGAACTTGCCGCACGATTTCGAACGACCGAAGAGCGGCACCGAGTCTCCACTTCTCCCCATGCGCCGTCCATGCGAGCGAGGCGCTTAATTGTATCTTGTGTTTGGTATGGCACCTCCTGGCCAGAGTCGCTGTAATCAAGATCTGGAGGCTCGATAAGGGAATTGGGAAAATAAGCCGGATCTAGGGCTGGACGATATGGTGAAATCATCGCAAACAGAGCGCGTGCACAGGCTGAACCTCAGACTGCCCGTGCCAGGGAGGCATCTCCTCGGTGCAATCTTTCAAAAGTCCGCCGAAGAACACGCCTGTGCTGTCGTCGTTGCCCTGGTTGTCGTCGCGGGTCTCCCCCCGCGCTTTCAGGAGCAGCGGGCTCCCTCCCTCACTTCGCCATTTCCTGCCTGATAACAATCCTCTAGCCCATTACCACATGGCGTCCCCAAGCGCTGGGGGAGCACGCAGTCCAACTGCACGGCCGCACCTTCGCTCGACACTTCACCATACCGGCGTTTCCAAAGGCAGGGGGCGGCGATGATTCGCCACAGGCGTCTTCGATCCGCCGCACCCCGTGCTTGCCACAGGAGAGCTTGGCTTGCTAAACTTTCTGGCCTGGCCGAAAAGGTCCCCAAGAGTGCCCCAAGACGGCCCAATAGGTCCCCGAGACATCCCCAACACGGCCAGGGGCCATGGAGTTCCCCCAAGAAAATCCGCCGACCCTGTCGGCGTGTGGAAGGCGCATCCCGGTGTCGTCGTCTTGCGTGGATCACCGTCGTCGTCGTCGTCGTCGTCGTCGTCGTCGTCGTCGTCGTCGTCGTCGTCGTCGTCGTCGTCTCCGTCGTCCCTACCCTCCCCGCCGGGGGGGGGGGGGGTCGCCGGGGGGGGCCGGGGGGGGGGGGGGTCGCCGGGGGGGGTCGCCACCCAGATACGCATCCTCCCCGGGGGGTCCCGGAGCTCAGAAAAGCTTCAAGACGAGCCAAGAGCGACAGAAGACACCCCCAAAAGGGTACAAGAGGGCCTCGACTCGACGAACGATGGCCCCAAGACGCCCAAGACGGCCCGAAGACGGCCCAAGAGGCCCTCAAGACGCTCCAAGAGAGCCCCAAGAGCACACCCAAGAGGGCCCCAGGCGCCAAAATCGTCAATTTTACATCGGTTTTTGAAGGATTTTGGCCTTCTCGCCTTTTCGGCTTTCCGACACTCCAAGACGGCCCAAGAGGCCCCCAAGAGGCCCCCAAGAGCGCCCCAAGAGGCCTACAAGAGGGCCCCAAGACGGCCCAAGAAGGCCCCAGGACAGCCTAAGAGGCGCCCAAGACGGCCCAATAGGGCCCCAAGACGGGCCCAAGAAACGGCCAAGAGGGGGACGAGGAACCGAGAATTCGAGACTTCCGCCCTAAGAGGCCCCCGGGAAGCCCCAAGAGGCCCCCAAAAGGCCCCAAGAGGCCCCCGAGCGGCGCCAAGACGCCCCCAAGATGCGCCGAAGACGGCCTCCGGAAGCCCCAAGAGGCCCAAAAGAGGCCCCAAGAGGCCCCACAACGGCCCCCAAGAGGCTTCAAGTTGCCTTCCAGACGCCCCCGAGAGGTCAACCACGAGATCCCAACCAACATCCATAAGGCCTCCTCCTCCTCCCCCTTCACCCTTCCTCCTCCTACTCCCTTCCGCCTCCTCCTCCTCCTCCTCCTGCCCCCCCCTCGCGTTGTCTTTCGTCGTCTTCAGGGTCGGCGGCAACGGCAGTAAGGCCTTCGCAATCAGTCTTTCCTCTGAGAACCGGGATAAAATGCCGAAGGAACTAAGATCTCACGTTCACTCTGCTCAGGGAGAGAGGCGACGGGATGAGACATCGATAAAACAAGTATCCGTTGAGCAAGATTACTCGATCAGGAATGTGTAGGGAGGAGGCCGGCTGGCCTACGACCGACGACGCGCGACGGCCGAGGGCTGGCGCGCTCCTTTTCTCTCCTGCAAGCCAAGGCTGGCTTGTTTGAGCAATCAATATAGCTGCAGGACGCAGCAGTAGTTCAGGCAGACAGTGCGGAGCATGCAAGTTATCTTAAGCTGTAATTGAATATGAGGCGGAGAGGAACATATGCACTCCCCCCGCGGCGGGCCTCGTAGAACCCATCCAGCCACGGCGCCCCTGGCCTATACATATACACAATCACCGGAGCCAGCCCCGACAACTTTTACGGCTCAACGGTGGCTGCCAGGGGGCCAAGGGCCGAAGAGGCTCGACGATCCCCACCATCACGGGAAATAGATTCTCTCCGCTGGTCCGGCTTAACCGGCCAGTAGAGGTAATACTCATCCATCACGCGTATCGCGCGTGGATGAGAACTTGCTTGCATGCGCCTGCGGCGACTGAGTCACGCGGGCAATACTCAGTTCAGGTTCCCCCACGGGTTGCACTCTTCCACGGGCGGCCCCGGCGGCAGCGGGCTTGACGACGCCGCGCCTCCAGTGCATCCTTCTCCGCCGCGAGGCGAGCGGGAACGCTCCTGATCTGAGGCACTGTAGTTCTTCTCCTTGTTCTTTGATGACTTCCCTCTGGATGGGAAGCGATTGTCGTGCTCATACGTAGACAGTATGTGCCAGTAATCCAGAGTGCACCACTCTCCGTCGGTCAGCCACGCGACCCGGTCCCTGTGGACATAGTACCCGACATGAACATTGTTTACGTAGCGCGGGTAGGACAGGGACTGGTCGTAGACGTAGTCGTAGCCAGCAGCTCCGCCGCCAGCATCCATGGCGCCATCTCGCGCGCGCCAGGGCACCGACCGATCCCAAGTGTTGGGATACTGTGGGTATGCCTCTCTTGTCGTCACGGCTGAGCCGGCGACAGACCGCGGGGACTCGGTGGCATCATCAGGAACCCGAACGTCTGGGACGCCAGGTCTAATCGGCGGGGGAGGCGTTAAAGGTCTAGCCTTCGCCTCATCCGGTGCCCTTCTCGGTCCCACGAGGTCGGCTTGGCCGTCGTGGTACAGATCATCGTTTCTATGCTCTCGCATAAATTGTAATAAACTCCCAGCAGCAGTCGCAGCTGGGACGCCATACTTTCCGCATGCAGTGCGGAAGGGCCCATCCTCTTCATCCTGGATCTCTGTTCCGGGGTCAGGATATTTGTCCTGAAGCCAAGAAATGGCTTTTGTATGAGAGCACCCTGACAACGGACATCGTCCTGCACCTTCCTGCCCATATTACGGGTCCATTTCTCTATTATGTCATCCGTTCGAACAGCAGCACGGATACGGCAGCCCAGAGCATATTCATCTGTCCGTTGCTTCGTAGAAATATTTTCTGCGCTCGCTACATAGGGGCGAATTATTCGCCCCGGGTATCCAACAAAATGTCCTTCTGATATAAAGCAGCTGATAATTTCACGGACAGTCGCACAAATCCTTATCGGCCGCAGACCTAGTAGCATCTCCTGTACAGGGGCCAACCAGTTGTCATCCACTATGGTCTTGATAATTTGCGGGACCGCATGTTTCGCTTCTCCTTGCAGCATTACCCTGCCAGGGTTATTCCGGTCTGTGCCAGTGTCTTCGACCGCGTATTGGGCCGCGGTTGCCCGAGCCTCTGCCCCGAGCAAAGATATTATGATCGAGCGGTCTTCGCAGTGATTGTACATGTCCGTCAGGATGATCAAGGTTGATCGTTCCATCGGTTATCAGCGCGGCTTTAGGCCCGCTGATTGCCGAAAAGTCCAGTCCCATTTGTGATTGTCCACCTGCCCTCGCGGCGTCACCCGCGGCATGTAGCAATGCTGGGGCTATGAGGCGGTGGTCCCGACATTCATTGACACGTCTCGAAACGGACTGGGAGCTGCGAGTTGGCCTCGCTCTGAAATTATTCTCCCAGGCGAGCGGCAATCGCGCGGGGGGGGGGTCCCCTCCGGCGTTTGCTTCTACGTCTCCCACGACGTTTTCACTCTGCACGGGTATCCATGGTCTCCCGAGATTTACCGCGCCATCAACTGTTTGGAGCGTCGGAGCAAAGACATTTGATCTAATCATGTCGCTATGCCATCTATTCCAGCCTCTCAAGGGCACGAGCAAGTCGCCCCTTTCATTTGGCCAGTCAAAGGCGGCCAGAGCCGGGCAAGTTCTTGGGCGAGCATATAGGTCAAAGTTTGTCTTCCATAGCTCCGGCCACCAGGTGCCAATCGCCGGGGTCCGCCTGCTCATCCTTTCGGCGGAAAGCTCAAGCCAAGATATGAACCGTCTGACCAAAGGCCTTAAATATTGGAAGAAAGGGGCATGGCGCGCCGGTGGCTGAGCCACGGCGTTCTCTGGCATCCATGCCGGGAAATTGCCCGGCAAGCTGTTGCCAAATATCTGGCCAGCTGCCACTAGTTTCTTGTAGTCCCCATTCGCCCATTTTCGCTCCTGCTGATGATTGCTGCTGATGTTTTTTTTCATTACAAGCGCAGAAGCTCTCTGTTGTCGTTCTCCACGCACCTTTATATACTGGGTGCGAACCCACCGAGGAAGGTCGTGCGAGTTCATCACCTCTAATGCAAGTCCATTCGCCTCAAGGGGCCGCGGGATTGTGGTCTGATTCCATGTCTGAGTCATGGAATCATGCGTGACCCTATATCTATATATAATCGGACAGCTGCAGACAGGACAATTTGCAAAACCTGTCCTCACCCAATGATATCGGAAACACAGGAACCTCCCGTCGTCTTCCCAGGGGACGGTTAAAACCCGGTCCTGGATTTCGGGTTCCAGTGCTGGCCGGCGATTCCACGACAACAGTAATCTCTCGTCTGTGTGGATCCAAGCAATAATCGACTCATTGTCGAAAGTCACTTCATATGAAGCCCACTCGCGATTGAAAAGTACCGACCAGCGCATCTGGTCCTCCTGTTTGACGAGAGAGACAGCTTTGTCAATGTCAGTGAACCTCGGCACCTCACGAGACACTACGGTCCCGTCTGGACAAACCCTGTACGAGAAGCGAGTGAGCACTCTGCCAGCGAAAACAAGAACAAGCTCCCATGACTCGCGATGATTGGGAATTTTGTTGCCGTAGGTGGTTGGTGTCATCTGCGGGCCAAGTCCCCACCTTTGGCGGTTCTCCTCTCTGTGCCACATTGCCCATGGGCAGTCGGCTTCTTGCAGGGAGAGGTTCTCCGTATGTCCGCTGGCTGAGCCACGGAGGAATACGTGTGGGATCAGGCATTGTAGGGCTCCTGTTCGTTGGAAGCAATCGCAGCAACTCATAGCCTGCGTCGCGACAAAGCCCTGAATCCCTCTTCGGGAAACGGACTGTTCCGTCCGTAGATTCCAGGAATGTCTGCAAGTCCGTGATATGAAGAAGATCCATGACCCCTGGCTTGGCCA